TCCTCAATGTCTTCATCTGTAAAATGGAAATAATAGTGGCCTCCAGAACTGGGAGATAACTAATTCCCACTTTGTTTTTGTGTTTTGCTTGCTTGAGTTTTTTGGGGTTTTTTTGTTTTTTTGTTTTTTTTTTGAGTCGAGGTCTCACTCTGTCACACAAGCTAGAGTGGAAGTAGCACAGTCAGAGTTCACTGCAGCCTCGACCTCCCAGGTTCAAACAGTCCTCCCACCTCAGCTCCCTTCCCAAGTAGCTGGGACTATAGGCATGTGCCACCATGCCAGAAAAAAATTTGTTTTCAGAGACAGAGTCTCCCTGTGTTATCTAGACTGGTCTTGAACCCCTGAATTCAAACACTCCTTCTGCCTCAGTCTCCTAAAGTGCTGCAATTACAGGTTTGAGCCACCACACCCAGTCAAATTCTTATTGCTTTAAGCCACTCACTTTGTGGTTCTTTGACACAGCAGTGGTTAAGAAACTAACACAGAGAGAAAAATGTTGCTTTTAGCTTCTGGTAAAATTGGTAGAGAAAATTTAAGTCAGTTAGAGGCAATAAAATGGGAAGAGTAAGACAGCTGACTACTCTACAAAATAATATTTTGGGAATTAAGCCTAGTTAGGCCTTGGATTCAGTTTTCGTATTGCAAAACTAGGGACAAAGTAGTACTTAACCCAAAAGATTGTACATGTAGTAGGTACAGTCTGTAATTATGTAATCACAAGTTATTAGACACAACTTGGATATCATAATAAGTTATTTTTCATTAATCTATGTATACAATATGACAAACCATTATATTTATAATATGATATTACAATTGCTGTGTCAGGTTTGACAGACTCGCACACCTTCACTACTCTGAAGGCAAAGCTGGTTTCCTTTGCCACACTCTAGAACAATAGTTCTTTACTAGGAGCAATTTTGCCCCCCCAGGGACATCTTTGGTTATCACAACTGGGGAAGGTGCTACCAGCAAACAGTGGATAGAGACCAAGGATATTGCTAAAATATACAGCAGTGCACAGGACAGCCCACCACAACACAGAGGCATCAGGCCCAAAATATCCACTGTGCCAAGGTTGAGGAGTCGGTTCTGGCAGTACCCAGGTAACCTCTAGTCAAAGCTTCAAATGCCAGAGTTCACGTTCTCACCCGGAGTGGTCAAACTAATGATGTATGCTTTTGAAATTTGGTAGAACAGGCTATTCATACAGTGACCTACAATCAGCTCAGAGCTAATAAAAACTTGAAACTTTATTTTTAAGAAAGAGCCAGGCACATGCCTGTAGTACCAGCTATTCGGGAGGCTGAGGCTAGAAGAGCACTTGAAGCCAGTTCAAGCCTGTAGTGCACATGATCGTGTTTTTGTTTGCTTGTTTTATGTTTTTATTTTTTGAGTCAGCGTCTCCCTCTGTCACCCAGGGTGGAGTGCAGTGGCACAATCATGGCTCACTGTAGCCTCAAACTCCAGGGATCAAGTAATCATCCAGGCTCGGCCTACCGAGTGGCTGGGACTATAGGCACACACCACCACGCCTGGCTAATTTTTTGTAGAGATGAGATCTTGCTATGTTGCCCAGGCTGGCCTCAAACTCCTGGGTTCAAGTAGGCCTCCGTCACTCAAAGTACTGGGATTACAGATGTGAGCCACCACACCTAGTCTTGATCATGCTTTTGAATAGCCATTGCACTCTAGCCGGAGCAACACAGTGAGACCCCATTGCTAAAAAAGCTTTACAAATTAAAAGCAAATGAACAAACAAACAGTCTTTTAATATTCTAAGAGAATGAAAATTCCTGTCCTCAAAGACAGCCTCATGGCCACTAACTAAGCCCAGCACTGCAAGCACTGGCAGAAACAGAAGCATTGCAAAGCCAAGGTGGCCACACACCACAGCAATCCATGGAACGTGCTCAGTACAACCATCTGCCCATCTGCACAGGAAGAGGAAGCGCAACTGTCCTCCCAAGCAGCCTCTCCAGTAGCTGGGAAGCCTCCCGCAGAAGCTGAAAACCACTGGAGTCCCAGCAGCTAGGCTCCCTGACGGAACCCTGGAATTACAATTAGGCAGTGGGTGGCTGGCTCGTCCCCGAAGAGCTGGCACAGGTAACTATCCTTTATCTGTATCTCGTAGCCAAGCCTAAATTGTTGCCTTACTCAAAGCTGCTGGATCGCCTTCGCTGCTCCCTCTGGCATGCAAAGCATTTGCAATTGCCTCCTTGAAGCTAGTGTGTAAATACGGTTGTGCACCCTGTACGTTTTTAATCAAGACTGTTTATCAAGTTTCCGTAGTCTGCTTGTCACCTTCACCACATAATCAGGTTATAAACAAGTTGGGGTACCAATACTGTTTACTAGGAGCACCCTAGAAATATGATGAACTAACCAGTAAGGCAAGAACATCCCAGTTCTGGTAAAGGCAAAACTAGGTTCTCAAGTTGCCTTCTCCATTGGAGTTTGCTCTTTTTCCTATTAATAATTAAAGTTCAAGCCTGGCAAGTTCATGCCTGTCATCCCAGCACTTTGGGAGGCCAAGGTGGGAGGATCACTTGAGCCCAGGAGATCGAGACCTGCCTGGGAAATATAGCAAGACCTTGTCTCTACAAAAAATGTGAAATTTAACATTAGGTGTGGTGGTGTGTGCCTGTAGTCTCAGCTACTTGAGTGCCTGAGGCCGAAGGATTGATTGCCTGAGCCCGGCAGGTTGAGGCTGGAGTGAGCCGAAATCGTGTCACTACACTCCAGAGCCTGGATGACAGAGTGAGGCCTTGACTCACAAAATGATAATATTAATAATAATTCAAGTTCAAATTTACCTGTGCAAATAAGGCTGGGATAGCTAAGACAGCAACATTAAATATAATTGCAAAACTACCTGTGGAGGGCAAAGTATGCTGCTAAATAGAATAGTACATACCTTAATTCTAACTTTCAAAAGTCAGTATTTATTGGGTCGTTCTGTACAAGTTCAAGAACAAAAGTTGCACTGTACTAGTTTAAATACCTTTAATGTTTTCATCAAGTCACTGAAGTCATCATCATCAAAACTACATTTATATTTAAAACTGGCTTGGTACCCTCAGTATATATTTTATCATTTAAATCAAAAGTTTCGTTAAAACTCTCAGTTCATTGACACAGAACAAATATTTCAACAGCTGGAAGATGTTAAAAGTCAAGCATTCTGGCATTTGAAGAGACATATATAATTACTCTCCCCTAAAAACAAAACATCTTGAAGAAAGCCAAGGAAACATGCTATCTCATAGGAAACCAACAAAACACGAAAACACAAAATTTAGAATTCTTCTCCAATCTTTACTTATAAAATTGTGCTAGCTACTAAAACTAGTCAGACTACCCCAGGTAAGAGAAATAATTTCTCCTTGGAGATATGGAAACACTATTTTCCCAAGTATGAAAAATAATTATCAGTATTTTAATGCACTCATCATAGTCATATTATGACTTTTCAGGGAAGACCATACAAAGTTTTATTTTAGCTAGACAGCCAAACAGCTGAAATATTTCATAATATGGTCTGATTAAAAGGAGCTCAATCTGTTTCAATTTAGTTCGCATTTTCAAGCTATAAAGTCAGCAACTCAGAAGTAGCACTTAAATAAATATTTCATGATACTTTTGGACATTTATGTTGTATTTTCATAGGAATCTGCTTCTACAGCTCTCTTTACCTTGTCTGAATTGTACCCCATGAACTACCCCTACTGCTATCACATGCCATCAATTCAGCCCACCTTCATTTCCTTCCCATGTGGAAATATGCCACAGATTTAAGTTTTTACTCTTCAAATTCTAGGAAACATGGAATGTTTATGTAGAGCCAGCAAGAAAATATTTTACAACCTTGCATGTATTGGGTACATTTAATAAAGAATGTTTCCTAGAGACAGGCAGAATTGCTGAGGGTATGTGAGGATGTGTGTGTGTGTGTGTGTGTGTGTGTGTGTGTGTAGTAGTAGTAGTAGTAGTAGTAGTAGTAGTAACAATTTGAGAGAAGAAATACTATAAAGAAAAGGCTCCCACAGTATTCTTCTTAGACATCTCTCTGCATGATTACACGATGGAAAGTCTGAAGGAAACAGAACAAACACTCTAATTTACTTTATTCCCTTGGAAAAGAAGTGTGGTTAACACCTTCGCAGTCTTGGGGAACTTTTCGGACTAGCGATAATGAAGAGCAGTAGATTTTGTGTGTGTGTGTGTGTGTGTGTGTGTGTGTGTGTGTGTGTGTGTGTGTGTGTGTGCGTGTGTGTTGGAGTAAAGCCGTAGATTTTAAATAAAGTTACAAGGAGCACTGGAGTGGCTCCCCAGCCTGTTCTCAATTGGACAGACTTTCATCTGTTTTGCTCAAAGCTTTGATGGCAGAAGTTTAAAAAACACTAAATGAGAATAAGACCAGTGTTGCCTTCCCAGGAATATCACGAAAAGTAAATGACATAAATGCATAAAATGCTTAAAACAGTGGCTTTCATGGTGCAAAAGCTCAACAGAGGTTGGCCAGAATTAGGATCCTGTAATGATTCAAGTCTTAACCATACAGGCAATTGAAAGAAAATGAAGCACAGATGTGATTATGATTTAATTTATAGAAACTGGCCGGGCACAGTGCCTCAGCTTCTAAACCCAACACTTTGGGAGGCCAAGGCGGGAGAATCCCTTAAGCCCAGAATTCAAGATCAGTCTGGGCAACATAGTAATGCCTCATCTCTACAAACAAAATCCAAAAGTCAGTCGGGCATGATGGTGTGCGCCTGTAGTCCCAGCTACTTGGGAGGCTGAGGTGGAAGAACTGCCTGAGCCCAAGAGGTCGACTGCACTCCAGCCAGGGAGACAAAGTGAGACTCCGACAAAAAAAAAAAATAGAAACTACAGGTGCGCCATCACTAGCTTTTAAAGGATGATCACCCCAACAGGCTTTTGAATTATAGAACTTTAAAACCAGACTATCTAGCCAGCAACACCAGGCAAAGGCTTACCTCTTCTTCTTGGTGATAATAAGCACGTCATTAAAAAGAAAGAAGTAGACTTGCTGCTTGGATGTCCTTCTTGAGAAAAGCACAGTGTCTTCTACATAAGCTGTCAACTCGCCTCTTTTTACCAACCACCGAGAAGAGGAGACTAAAGGAAAAGGCTACAAAAGAAAAAAAACAAAAACAAAAAAACTCAGTGCCCCAAACAGAGTTAAAGTCTTTTTACGATTATTGAAAGTAAAATATAAGACTTACATTCAAACGACTGACATATTATGATATGCATCATTGTTTTGTGGGCATATAATCCTGAAAAATAACTAGAGAAGTACAGTGCATTCTCAAAGAAAAAATGGAAAAGAACAATTTATCTTCCAATATAAAAAACTATTAACTTCCCAATATGAAACTCAAACTCAATGAGAAAATGTTATTGGGTCAATCAAAAATTATGACATTTCTATGAACTCTCAACTGAAAAAGAAAATGAAGTAAGAAGTCATTTAAAATGAAAAAAGCCTAGTAATGAAATCTACCAATATAAACTGCAGTTACTTTAAATATCTCAAATCAAAATCCAAATATACAAAAAATCATAGATAACAGTAGTTAACAAGAGACAAATATAAAAGTCTGTATTTGCTTTATGAACTAAAAATGCTTTTTCAAGAGAAAATACCCTCACAAACTCATGTTTTGGCTACTGATTATCTATTTAGCTATATCCTTGAGAACACCTGTTCTTAAGTTTATGGTAGTTTTCCTCGTGGAGAAAATGTGCAATAAATGTGTTCATTAAGTGCCAACCAACTCATACATCAAACCGTCTTAATACTTCAGACCTTCAAGACTGTGGCCTGAAAGTTGTGTATGTTCAGAGATGTACTTCTCTGTGGTACTGAATTGCTTTTATTGGCACTTTTTTTTTTTTAGGTTGAGATCTCATTCAATCGCCCAGGCTGGAGTGCAGTGGCATGATTGTGGCTCACCACAGCCTCAACTTCCTGGGTTCAGGCAATAATCCTTCCACATCAGCCTTCCAGGTAGCTGGGACCATAGGCACACACCATCATGCCCGTCTAAATTATAAATTTTTTTTTGTAGAAACGGGGCCTCATTATGTGGCCAAGGCTGGACTCTAACTCCTGGGCTGAAGCAATCGTCCAGCTTCAGCCTCCCAAAGAGCTGGAATTACATGGACGAGCCACTGTACCTGGTCTATCTATAACTTTTGAAGTTTGACTGTATAAATTATCAGTTCCTCCTGAAGGGATCTAATCCAGGATGCTGAATGGTATTATTGCCATGTTACATGATATTTTTGTAAAATGTAGCTTAATTATAATCTCACACTGAAAATTTTGCATCACTTTAGTTAGCATCATTCTTTTAAGAATTATAAGCCAGTAGTTTCTCTCACCCATGCCCGCTCTGGCATGTCTCTCTATCTTTCCCTTCTTCTTTCTCTAAAAAACTGTTTTAAACTTAAAAAGGAGAACTATACCAAAAGAATTTATGCCTTAACATGTCATTATGTAGCATTCCTTAAAAGAATTGTGAATACTGGTGTTTCTGGCATTTTAACTTGAAAGTGATATGCTGCAAGATAATGTATTTAACAATATTTGGTGGCAAACATTCAATAATAGTTTACATCTGTTACCAAAAAAATGAACCATTATGCCACTTTCTGGCTGTGAAAATGAATTTCTCCTAAAATAATCTATCATAATCTCTTAGAAAAGGCTGTATCCAAGAAACTACATATTGTTTTTTTCTTTATTCAGTCTTGTACAAGCCAACTGGACAATTCTCAAAACCACAGTATAATTCTTACCCTTGAGAGTTTTCCTTTTTTTTTTTTTAAGTTACCAGAAATGTTTACCGCCAAAAATCTGATTTAAAAGACTATATCCATAAAATAAGCAAGCAAAAGTTCTTGGACACACAAAATATAGTGTAGTAATGTGGGACAATCAAATGTCATCCTTTTCAGGGAATAATGATTAAAAATCGCTAAAGGAAATTGAGGATGTGAAGGAGGAAATGAGAAGGTTAAGGAAGGATTTCACTTTTTTTTACACTTTATAAAGAGCTTTTATAAGAATGTTGTTCACCAGTTACATACTCTTTTCTTAAAGGTCTAAAAGGGAAGATAAAAGATGATGGCTAACCCCAATCTGTTCAAAACTGGCTATTAAGGGAATTCATGAAGTTTCTAACCCCCAAACCTTGAGTCAACAATTATCTAACAGGAACAGCTGGGACCATAAAGGTCAACTGTCAGAAAGCGTGCTTAGATAGCTCTGGAGGACCAGCTGGCACACACGAGGTCACCTTGTGTCACATTAGGTCCTGCCCAAGGGTTGTCATTACCGGAAACAGGGTTATATTGCCATTGCGTGTAACCCTACCAGCTGCCCTATAACTGTTCTTAGTTAAGGGGCTGGGGAAAGAAAAGTTTTTAAATTGTTTTTTTGCTTTTAAGGTAGATTGATTTTTTTTTTTTTTTTTTGAGTTAGAGTCTTACTCTGTTGCCCAGGCTGGAGTGCAGTGGCACTCACAGCCACCGCAGCCTCGACCTGCTGGACTCAGGCAATCCTTCCACTTTGGCCTTCCAAGTAGCTAGAACCACAGGCGAGTGCGCTACCACGTCCAGCTTATTTTTTGATTTATTGTAGAAACGAGGTCTCACCAAGTTGCCCAGGTTGGTATTGAACTCATGAGTTCAGGCAATCCTCTCACACTGGCTTCCCAAAGTGTTGGGATTACAGGCTTGAGCCACTGTGCCCAGCCAGCAGACTGATTTTTATGGACTCCTTGTACTCCATCAGGCAAAACAACATTTCTATCTAAGCACCTAAAATTAACAGTGGCTTTTGATATGTCTAAACTTCTTTTGAAAACAAAAATCTCATATTATAAACATGTTTCAAATTTATTGTTAGAAGACTGAACTCATTCAGATAGGTTTTTGTTGTTGTTGTTGCTTGGTTGGTGGGTGGTTTTTATTTTGTTTTGTTTTTTGAGTTGAGGTCTCACTCTGTCACCCAGGCCGGAGTACTGTGTGGCATGATCACGGTTCATCAGAGCCTCAACCTCCTAGGCTCAGGTGATCCTTTAGCTGCAGCCTCCTGAGTAGCTGAGACTAGGTACATAACACCATGCCCGGCTAATTTTTTATTTTTTGTAGAGATGAGATCTCACTATGTTGCCTAGGCTGGTCTCAAACTCCTGGGATCAAGCAATTCTTCCTTGGCCTCCCCAACTGCTGGGATTACAGGTGTAAGCTACTAAACCAGGCTTCAGATAGGTTTTATTAAAGAAGATACTATTTTTTATTATTTAAATCTTCTGCCCTCGGATATTGATAAAGAAGACAATATTAAAACGACCAAAATAAAATAAATCAGAACAATCCAAAGTGAGCATAAATGAATTTCCCTAGTAAGCGAGCTGGGATACTAGGATGTAGGTGTACCCAAACTAGAAAAGAAATTCGTGGCTAAGCATAGTGGCTCATGCTTATAATCCCATGTAATTCCAGCACTCTAGGTGGTTGAGGTGGTGGGACTGCTTGAGCCAGGGGTTTGAGACCAGCTTGGGCAACGCTGTTTCTATAAAAATTAAATTAGCTAGGTGTGGTAGTGCATGCTTATAGCTACTTGGGAGGCTAAGGCGGACAAATAGCTAAGCCCAGAAGGTCAAGGCTCCAATAAGCCACAATTATGCTCCTGCACTCCAGCTTGAGTGACAGAGTGAGACTACAACACACACATACACAAGGAGAAATCTATGAACAAAAACAGATCCTAAACAATTGAGGTAATGTCTATAGAGCAAAGACTTTTTATTATTTTTTTCTGTACTCAGCATCCTAGAAAATTAGCCTCAGCATAAAATATAACCAATTTTACGGGGCAGCAAGAAAAGGAAGAGCCACTGAAGATCAAATAATTTTTCTAACTGAGAAAATTTATATAGCATAAAATTCACCATTTCACCGATTCAAGGGATATATACATAATTCAGTGGCTTTTACGTACATTCACTATGTTGTGCGATGATCATCACTATCTAATTCCAGAACATTTTAAATACTTCAAAAAGAAGCCAGCAGTGCAGTGGCTCAAGCCTGTAATCCCAGAACTTTGGGAGGCTGAGGTGAGGGGACTGCCTGAGCCCACAGGTTCAAGACCAGCCTGGGCAACTTGGTGAGACCCTATCATTACAATAAATCCCAAAATTAGCCAGGCATGGTAGTGCGTGCCTGTAGTTCTGGCTACTTGGAAGGCTGAGGCAGAAGGATTGCCTGAGCCCAGCAAGTCGAGGCAGCGGTGACCATGAGCGTGCCACTGCACTCCAGCCTGGGCAACAGAGTGAGACTCTAACTCAAAAAAAAGAAACCCCACTTGCATTCAGCAGTCACCCCCACCCCCATTCCTCCTCTCCCAAGCACCTGGCAATCACTAATCAACTTTCTAACTCTATGGATTTGCCTATATTGGACATCACATGCAAATGGAATAATACAATATGTGACCTTTGCCTCTGGCTTCTTTCACATAAGACAATGTTTCCAAGGTTTATTCATGCTGAGGCAAGTAGCAGGACTTGTACTCCTTTTTATGGCTGAATAGTATTTCATTGTATGGATATACCTCATTCTGTTTGTCCATTCGTCAGCTGACTTGGGTTACTTCCACTTTTGTGCCTATTATAAATAATGTTGCCATGGAGATTCATGTACACATTTTTGTTTGAGCAACTCCTTTCAGTGTTCTTGGGTATCTATCAAGGAGTGGAACTGCTGGGTCTTACAGCTTTTTTGCATTTAACTTTTTGAGAAACCACCAAACTGTCTCTAACAGCACAGACTGTTTAAACACCCGAGAGTTCTTCATTTTGTCTGTCAGTGCTTGGATTTCTATTTGTTAGCAAGGCCCCCAAACCTTCTCCATGTACATATTCATAAGGTCAAACATTCAATTATAAGGTAAAAAAAAACATTCTTCCCAAATCTAAAGAAAGCTGTTATCTAATGGAGAAAAACCACAATTTGAGGCACAAACTGATCTCTGATCTTTGATCTTCTTAGTTTGTGTCCACTTTTTTCTCTACCACTATCACTTCCTGTCCTCCCACCTCAGAGGGTAAGCCTTCCTGCCCTCAACACCCTGCTTTCAACTCTGAGGCTTTATTCCCTCATTTTTCTTCCCTCCCATTAGTAAGTATTCTTTCTGTCCTGGCTCCCTTTCTGCAACCTGTCCTGAAGATTATTCACTAAAAATGGTCCCTCAACTTCCTGCCTTCTCTAGTTCTCATCACTGGCCTGTCCTTTTTTAAAATTTGAGTCGGGGTTTCACTCTGCCACCCAGGCAGGAGTGCAGTGGCACAATCATGACTCACCTCAGCCTTGACCTCCTGGACTCAGTTGATCCTCCTGCATCAGCCTCCCAAGTTGCTGGGACGACAGATATGTGCCACCACACCAGGCTAAGTTTTGTATTTCTTGTAGAGACAAGGACGTGCTATGTGGCCCAGGCTGGTTTTGACCTCCTGGACTCAGGCAAGCCTCCTGCCTCAGCCACTTGAATAGCTGAGACTGCAGGTATGGGCCACCATACCCGGATAATTTTTCAATTTTTTTGTAGAGTCAACATCTTGTTATATCACCCAGGCTGGTCTTGAACTCCTGGACTCAAGTAATCTGTCTCAGACTCCCAAAGCGCTAGGATTACAGGGTTGAGCTACTGTGCCCAGCCTGGCCTGTCCTTTTGATAGTCAACCTTCTTGAATGAAAAGTCTAATCTGCTTAAACTATTCCACAACCCATTCACTCTCCAACAACCCCCCATGCCTATGAAACCATTCTAATAAAGCATCTCAATACATTTACAGTATGCTTACTACAAATCAGGACAGTTTCAAGTTCTATACAATTCTTAAATAATGTAATCTTCACAATAATCCCATGAGGGAAAGTACTATTATCTGTCTCATTTTAGGGTTCAGAAAACCAAGACATGAAAAGGTAAGTGAATACCCAAGGTTGTACAGCTAGTAAGTAGTGAAGTTGCTTCTGCAACTCAGGCATCAGAACCCGTGCTTGTAATTTAATCAGCTTCCTAAGTGCCGCTCTAGGGATGCTTCCCACCCCTCTCATTTACCACTATTTAGCATATGACACACTTCTAGAAACTCACAAATTTGAAAAATGAAGAACACATGTATGTGTTTATGTACACACATATTCACACACTCCACACACAAACTTTATTTCCCTCCTAATTTCTACCTAACACCTAAACTGACAGTGATTTTCAATATGTTTATTTCTAATTTTCAATCTTCTGATCTCATTGTTTCTAATGTTTAACTATTACAAATTTGAAAATGATCGGTATTATTATACTGTCATTGTTAAGACTGTGGACTTGGGAGTCACACAAAGGTTGGAATACAGACTCTACTATGTCTTGGTGTATGACTTTAGGCAAATTATTTAATCTCTCTAGCTTCAGATTCTTCATCTGTAAAATGGAGATAGTAATAGGATACTTCATGAGGTTCTTGTGAGAATTAAATGAGGTTATATAAGTGGCATATAGTAAATAATCAATATTCTCACAATAGCAGCAGCTACAGCCATACCATAAACCAAATACAACCAAAACACAACGCATTACCTTCCCCCCAGACTTGCTCCTTCCCTGGGTTCCCTATCTGAGTGAGTGCTGTGACTCTCCATCCCATGAATGAGGCCCAAGGATATCACCGCCACTGGCCAGCTCCAGGCGCATGAGGCTCCAGGTCTGCTGCCCAGCTCCTAACTGGTTGTCTTGGGCTTATTACCCCCAAGTCGACCTCCACACAGCTGCCACAATATATTTTCAAATAATAAATTCAGGCCAGGCATGGTGGCTCATGTCTGTAATCCCAGCACTTTGGGAGGCCGAGGCAGGAGAATTGCTTGAGCCTAGGAGTTTGAGACCAGCCTTGGCAACATAGTGGGACCTTATCTCCACAAAAAAAATTAAAAAAAATAGCTGAGCATGGTGGCATGTGCCTTTAATCCCAACTACTCAGGAGGCTGAGGCAGAAGGATTGCCTGAGGCTAAGGAGCCTGAGGCTTCAGTGAGCAGTGATCATGCCACTGCATTCCAGCCTGGGTAACAGAGTAAGACTCTGACTCAAAAATGAATGAATGAATGAATGAATGAATGAATGAATGAATGAATGAAATGAAATAAACTGAATAGAAATGTCCATTGTTATTCAAAAAGTGTTATAAGGTCTTAAGATTCTCTAATTAGTACTAATTAGTATTTCCAACTGCTATGAATATTGTAAATCCTTACTTAGAATACTTTCCTTTAGGGTTACACATATTTCAATCACTAAACCAAAAGACAACAACCAAAAACTCAACTCAAATTGATGTTAATCATTTACTCTTAATGACTCTTGGGGTAAGCATTTTTCAATTACAAATTAATTTGGGGTTTTAGATAGAGCTTCATACAAAAAAAAAAAATCTCAAGCCAACTGATTTTTGGTGAAGGAGGATAAAGGAAAATGGTCAGGGATTTTTTTCATCTTTTAAAAAAGGGGATTAAAAAAAACTTCTGTTGTTAGATGTATTTTCTTACATATTCAGTAACCAATTAAAGAGAAGAACAAAATTCTTTTTTTGAGAGTCAGGAGAAAGATGGGTTTTGAAATTGCTGTAAATTTTTGTGCGAGGACATTGTAACTATTTAAAACAGGCGTGTGGGTGTGGGTGTTGTTTTTAGTAAGTGCTCATCATCTTCTGTTTTACGGATTGTGTTTCTGCATCTAAACCATTACAGTCAGGATGTTATGATAGAAGAGTTTACGCTGACCTGCAAGTCAGGACGCCTGGACCCAAGTCCTGATTTTACCACTACTAGTCGAGTGACTCTGATGACAATTAATTATTCTCTGGGTTTCTTTGCCTCATGTATAAAGTAAAAGGGTGTAGTTGCACTCTATCAGTGGTCCTCAAACTATGTGACATGGCAGAGAAGTTGCTCTCTGCAGAATACCATGAAATGCTGGTCACTATAATTCCACTGCATACATCAAGAACACTTTTAATAGAAAAAAATACGACCAGTCACTTGAAATTGCCTAATTAATTTATGTCTTATAGGCCAGGTGTAGTGGCTCAGCCTGTAATCCTAGCACTTTGGGAGGTCGAGGCGAGAAGATTGCCTGGGTCTGGGGATTTGAGACCAGCCTGGGCAACTTGGTGAGACCTCAACTCTACAATAAATCATAAAAACTAGCCAGGCGTGGTGGCATATATCTGTAGTCCCAGCTACTTGGAAGGCTGAGGCGGAAGGATCACCTAAGCCAAGCAGGAAGAAGGATCGCCTAAGCCCAGCCACTGCACTCCAGTCTGGGTGACAAGAGTGAGACTCCAACTCAAAAAAAAAAAAAGTTTTATGTCTCATAAAACAACACAGAATCACAATCATGAGCACTCACTTCCACTAAGAACTCAGCTATGAGCCAACAAAGGATTGGCCCTGGCCTAAATTTGCCATCAACTGCCATTTTCTTCTCTTTTGTTCATCTTGTCATCTCCTCAAGGGCACTATCAGACAAGGAGTGACAAGCAGCACATACTCAAAAAAAGTTATAAGAAGAAAACAAACTTTAAAAAAACCATCCATTAATCTGTTTTGAAAATGGGAAAAGGCATGCCCTTATTTTACCTAGGGGAATACCTTGGTCCATCTCATGGGATACCAGTGTTTTTCAAGACATTTTGAGAATACTGAAGAAGTCTCTTTTCAAGTCTAAAATTCCATTATTTTAACTACCCTTTCCCCAAGTTTGGTGTCTTCCTGGGGCAAAAAAAAAAAAAAAAAGGTGTTTTTTAGATAATACCTAATGCCATAGACTGGAGAAAGGTCACTTTGTCAGGCACAAGCAAGAGCAGAATTGCCCAAAGCATCTGCTACTCTCTCTGCCAGCTTCCCTCTTACCAATTTATGGTCTTTCTTTAAAAAGCAAATTCCTATCCACTTTGTCACCCTTAACTGTCTCTCTCCGTTTAGTTAAGATTCAAGCAAGAGCGCTAATGAACATGGGCACAAGAATACCTTAATTTTGAATTCCAGCTGGGAGTTAATTGTGTACATCATCTCGGTCCTCTCCATCTTCCGGGCTCCTTCATTGCACAGTCGGACCAACTAGGAACACAGAAGAGGAAGGAGGGTTCAAGGTCAGGGAAACAAATCTCTCTTTCAAAAGCAGATCTCTCACAGGGAATGATTAGCACTCAGGAAACCCAGAAATTCATTCCTGATGGTTAAAGATCTCACAGTTTTATATATTTAAGACACTTGTACCAGTCAGAAGTGGCACGATTAGGATGGGAAAGACACACACAAAAAAGACTTCAGGGACACAAACCCTCTGTACACTATGATAACACCGCACTCTCACACACATGTGACTCGTTCATTGTACACTCCAAGGCTGGGTCCATTTTGCCTCATTCCTCTGACCCTTCTCCTGGCCATTACTGATGGGAACCCCACCCAACCTCAGGGCAAGCGACACCCCCTCCCACTTCTAAATCAGAGCAGCTAGAGGCAGACAGACAAGTTCAAAGGCAAAATCTAAGCAGAGTGCTAGGTGCAAAGTATGTGACCAGTAATCTGAATGCAGAAGAGGGAAACCTTGGGGGTTGGCATAGCACCTGATGGCCAATGAATCTCCAAGGATGGCCAAGCTAAGGCCATCAGTTTAATTGGAAGCACTGAATTATCTAAAAAGCAAATGCTTTCACAGTCCTTTAATGAGTACCTAATACATGCTTAGTTCACTGAACTAAATCAAAACAAATTCTGTATCTCCAATTTCTCATTAACTGGAAAATCTGAAAACAATGTCCATATAAGGGTCACTGGCCATAAAGACAAAATTGATTATTAAAAACAAAGGCTAGAAATTCTAATTGGATTGATTTTTTTTGTTAGATAATACATGCCCACTGTTTAAAAAATAAATAAAATGATGATAACAGAAGTACATAAAATAGGCCATAAAAGGTCCTGACCTAACCTTACTCCACAGAGGTAATTGGAAACAGACTGTCATACACTCTCTTTTCTTCCTATGCTTATATGAGCATATAAATATACACATATGTGTTGAAATTTTTCTTTTTAGAAATGAGCATTTTAGGTTTGCTGTGACTTTTTTCACTTACCAATTGTCACAGACAATATGAGTGTCCCCCCCCACCACAAATTCATATATTGGAATCCTAATGAGATCGTATTACAAGGCAGGTCCTTTGGGGGATAATTAGGTCATGAGAATAGAGTCCTCAAGAATGGGATTAGTGCTCTTATAAGACAAGAAAGAAGAAAGGCTCGTGTGTGTGTGTGTGTGTGTGTGTGTGTGTGTGTGTGTGTGTGTTTTAGGCAAAGACTTATCTTGTTGCCCAGGCTGGAGTGCAGTGGCACAATTACAACTCACTGCAGCCTCAACATCCTAGTCTCAGGCAATCCTTCCACTTCTGCCTCCCAAAGTGCTAGGAGGTGCCACCACGTTCAGCTAATTTTGTAAATTTTTTGTAGAGACAAGGTCTTGCTATGTTGCCCAGGCTGGTCACAAACTCCTGGGCTCAAGCAATCCTCCCACCTCAGTTTCTTTAAAGTGTTGTGATTATAGGCGTGAACCACCATGGGTAGCTTTCTTCCTCTCTCAGCTTTCTCTCTATTATGTGAGGATAAAAGAAGAAGAAGACCATCTGCAAACCAGACAACTGGCTCTCAGCAGTTGCAGATCTGCCTGTACCTTGAAGATCTTGGTCTTCTCAGCCTCCAAAACTGTGAGAAATGAATGTGTCATTTAAGCCACCCGATCTATGGTATTCTGTTACTGAAGCTTGAACTAAGAAATATTTCTCCTTTTAAAATATTACCTATTAGGGTAAAAAAGTTTATTTAGCACTTACTGTGTTTTGGGTACAGGGTTACAACACAATCTCTAACTTCATAGAGGGCAGACAAAAGACACAAAAATCAATGACTGAGATCATGAAGAAAAAGACAGGGTAGCAGGGGAGCAAGTGGCAAAGAGGAAGCCCAGGGAACCTCTCCCGGGAGGTCATTTAAACTGAAGCAGAAGAGAAAGCTAGTACCAAAGAATAAGATGTCCCAGGCAGGCTGGGCTTGGTGGCTCACACCCATAATCCCAGCACTTTGGGAGGATGTGGTGGGCAGATTGCTTAAACCCAGGGTTCAAGAATAGCCTGGCAACGTAGTAAGACTTCATTTCTACAAAAAAAAAAAAGGGAGAGAGAGAAAGAAAAGAATAAAAAAAATTAGCCAGGAGTGGTTGTGTGCATCTGTAGTCCCAGCTACTTGGAGGCTGAGGTGGAAGGATTGCCTGAGCCCAGGAGGCTCTGACTGCCGTGAGCTGTGATCATCGTGATTATGCCTCTGCACTCCAGCCTGGACAACAGAGTGAGACCCTGACTCGAAAAAAAAAAAAAAAAAAAAGAAGAAGAAGAAGATGGCCCAGGCTGAGAGAACACCATGAACCCAGGGCCAGATGGGAAAGCACGTGTGTGCTTAGGCTAGCGAGAGATGACCTGACATGCAGGAAGTGGGCATGGGATGAAGTCAGAGAGACAGGCCAGGCTCAAACCATGCAAGACCTTATGGTGTCTGGACTGTGCTCCAAGTGCAAAGAGAAGCTACCCGCAGATTTTCTGCAGGGGAGTGACAAGGTTCAACTGAGGCTGTGATCACCGTATAGACTTTCCACAATGGGTTTGTTCAATTTCTTATTCACAGCACTTGGACACTTTTCAACTGCTCACTTGATTTCAGATTTGGAGGGCAGACCCATCCTCAGTGGCAGCCTACGTTAGCTCTGAATGTCTCAATGAGCTCACTAATGCAGGGACAAACGACTACATCTGATCAAAGCTAAGAGCCAAGAATATCCAGGTGGAGGTCGGGGTAGCCGGAAACTACAACATAATGAAGGGAATGAGGCATCAGAGGGAGAAATCAGCACTGCATCAGGCTGTCTGCTCAGGACATTTTTATGACTTCTCTTGGGGAATGTGCTCATAGCTCCCGAATCCATGTTTCCTGACTTTGTCTCCTAGGCTCTAGACCCAGCTACCTAGATGACATCTCTTCCTGGATGTCCCAAAGCTATTCCAAACTTAGCATCACCAAATCAGAGCATCTTCCCCCTCTTGTCTTCCCCAGCTCCACATTCTCAGTGACTAACAGCACCATCCATTTCCACAAGGCATGTAGGACTCTCCCTCTGCTCTGCCCTCCACATTCAAGCAGTCAGTCTCCTTCATGTCGCCATCTTGCTGTTCACTTCTCTCCACCTGCTCTGGCCCCTGAACCCAGGTTCAGACCCCTTTGTGCCTGGATTGTTGGCTTCCTAATTCTTTTAATCACTTCTACCCTTCCCTTACGCATCCTCCAAAAATACGACGCCAATCTTCTTAAGTTCAAATCTGATCATAAAACTCTTCAGCTAAAAATCCTTAAAAGGCTCCCTGAAAGGCTGGGTGTGGTGGCTCATACCTGTAATCCCAACACTTTAGGGAGCCCAGGCAGGAGTATTACTAGCAGCCAGCAATTAGAAACCTGCCTGGGCAACAAAGCAAAACCCTGTTGCTAAAAATAAAAAATTAGGCCAGGTGCAGTGGCTCATACCTGCAATTCCAGCACTTTGGAAGGCTTAGGCAAGAGGATTGCTTGAGCCCAGGAGTTCGAGACCAGTTCAGGCAACACAGTGAAACCCTGTCTCTAAAAAATAAAAAAAGTAAACCAGGTATAATCTACAAAAATAAAAAAATAAGCCACGTCTAGCAGCACATGCCTGTAGTCCCAACTACTCGGGAGGCTGAGGCAGAAGGACTACTTGAACCCAGGAGGTCGAGGCCATGGTAAGGTGTGACTAAGCCACTGCACTCCAGCCTGGGAAACAGAGTGAGACCCCGACTGAATAAAATAAAAAATAAAAATATAAAAAATGACCCAGGTGTGAAGGTACATGCTTGTAGTCCCAGTTACCTGGGAGGCTCAGACAGGAAGATAGCTTGAGGCCAAGAGTTGAAAGTTGCATGAGCTATGATCATCTGATCACGCTACTGCACTCTAGCCTGGGCAGCAGAGTGAGTGAAACCCTGTCGCAAAAAAAAAAAAGTTCCCTGAAGCCTTCAGAACTTAGTCTTAGCAAGACCCTTCCTGACCTGGCACCTATGTCCTTTATCCCAACCTCTCCCTGCCCTCATGTGGGGCCTCAGTCCTACCAATGTCTGACACATACACGCCTTCTTGCCTTCACACTTTGGCATGTATGCTTCCCTCTGCCTGGGCACTTGACCCCACTCTGTCCAATAACACCTTCTTATCTAGATTTATACCCGGCTACTTGTCTTTCAGGACTCAACTTGGGTGTTATCTCTCCAAAAAGACTGGAGAGCAGAGACTGTGAAATGTTCTTATTGGTGAGCCCTGGGTTCAGCATAGCACTTAACACCCACTGGGATATTGTGCAGACATTCTGCATAAAGAAACTACCCTTATACCTAGTTTATAATCACTTTTTTAAAAAAAATAAACAATTTCTTTATAGTTAGCAATTTTTAAAGTGAAAGAAAAAAATGGTATTAAGTCTGAGTTTTTCTTAAACTTCCCGATACTGAATCTGAAAGTAAAAGATGAAGTCATGCCACCACTGGAAAAATTCTGAAGAAACCAAAGGTGCTTCAGGAGGCATATTCAAAATAAAAATGTTCTCAAAATATCTCAAGCAATGGTGTTATCAATGGAATTGGTTTTAATGAGTATTTTGAAAAGACAAGCACTAATCTGAACGTGTGTGCTCCTGTTTTCATTAAAATTAGCCTCAGCATATAAAAATTAAGCATTCCTTCAGTATCTGTCAAAGGTTTATTAAATGTGGTTCACGAAATTTTTTGTTCCAGGACTAATACATACAGGGGGGAAAAAGTTCAATGCTACTAGTAAGAAATATAAATTAAAACAAAAATAGGGTCAGGCACAGTGGTTCACACTTGTAATCCTAACACTTTTAGAAGTTGAAGTAGATGGACTGTTTGATCCCAGGAGTTCAAGACTAGCCTGCCTGGGCAACATATCAAGACTTGTCTCTACAAAAAGAAATACTAGTCGGTGTACTGGAACACGCCTGCAGACCCAGTTATTCGGGAGGCTAAGGCAAAAGGATCACCTGAGCCCAACAGGTTGAGGCTGCGGTGAGCCATGATGGTGCCACTGTACTCCAGCCTGGATGACAGAAGATCCTGACTCAAAAAAAAAAAAAAGAAAGAAAGAAAATATTAGATGGGTTCAATACTCGTAGAGTTTGACTACTTTGTCTCTAGGAGAAAAGTTTATAACATAACATTACCTCCAAATATAAGTAGAACTTTGATGAGGTAAGAATTAAAGCTGATATTCTCCTTCCAAGGAAGAAAACAGCTGGGAAGATTCATTTGGCATAAGATACCGTATCGTGATCACTACTCCTTACAGGGCACACAACCCTTCAGACGAGCTGAACTACCAGATTCACCGGAAACCTTCGGCCTCCCAGCACTACCCCAGCATGTTAACAGAAAATCAGGAGGTAAACACAGATCTTTCTCATTTTTAAGTTGTTAGATTAGGTCAATAAGTATTTTCAAGGTCCAAATTCAAGGCGTTGTCACAGTCTTTTCAGCAACATACAAGAACAATTCCACTGAAGTATTATTCATATGCAAATAAATTGAATTAGTATTTTAATTACCAGAAAGGTATCACTCACTTTTTTCCAAGAATGAGTAACTACCTAGAAAGATTTATGCAAAGGACTTAAGCAAAGTTTGGTACTTGGGCCTCAACACACCAAATGTAGTTCTCTAATATAAAATACTGGGAACTCCTGATTTCTTTGATTTCACGTAAGGCAAACAAATGACATTCTACATTTTAATTCTGAAACATAAATGCTCTCTCTCTCTATTTTATACTCTCCACAACATCTCAGGTTAAATCCCCAACTCCCTATCGTGTGTAGCAAGGCTCTACACGCCCGACTCCTCAGTATTCGCTCTCTCTCTCTCTCTCTCTCTCTCTCACAAACTGACTGGGCTCTAGCCACATGGAGATCATTCTGGTTCTTCAATACTCCAGTGATTTCTTTTTTTTTTTTTTTTTTTTTTGAGTTGGAGTCTCACCTGATCGCCCAGACTGGAGTGCAGTGGCCGCTCCCGGCCACCGCAGCCTCGCCTGCTGGGCTCCGGCAATCCTTCCGTCTCAGCCTTCCAAATAGCCAGAATTACAGGCATGCGCTATCACGCCCGGCTGATTTTTTTGATTTTTTGTAGAGATGAGGTCTCACCTGCCCAGGCGGGTCTCGAACCCGCGGGCTCAGGCAATCCACTCACCTCAGCCTCCCAAAGGCGCGGGATTACAGGCTGAGCCACCGAGCCCGGCTTCTCCATTGATTTCTGGCCTCTGGATCTGCACACATATCTGAGACATTCTCGTTCTCCACTCTGGCTTGCAACCACTCCTGCGCTTGTTCTCAGCTTAGATACCACTGTGTACATCCCTATCCTGTCACTCACAACCCTTCACCGTCACTCCGTTTAATGTCTGCCTTCCTCTTCACACAGCACATTCCACGAGCGCAGTGACCACACCTGTCTCATTCAGCACCGTATTTGCAGGGGCTGGCATCACGCCTGGCACGGTGGTTGATACTCAATAAATATTTACTGAATGAGAAATGACCAAATAGCGATTCAGACTCCAAAAGGAAATAAGATATCTTTAGGACCTTAGGGCAAAACTGTCTGAAACGGTAAAAATACCATTTCACTTGAGCGCAGCAAACATTATTTTGTTTTTCAACGACCTAAGAATGTTGTCCAAATCTACCCATTTTCAGCATCAAGGCAAGACACACTCTCTTCCGAGGTGTCTGAACGGGTTGCTGTGTGATGAGTTGTTTGATGGTTACCTTGCTTACTTCCTTCAAGGCCCTCTTGCAGACTTCATACTTTGGAGAGTCCTTAGGTGTTTTTTGACAGATAGTCTGTAAGGAAGTAAATGGGAACAAAATCAATTAATTTATATTAATTAAATAATTAAATCCTCTCACTCATAGCAAATTTAACAATGTTGAACACAACATTATGACGAGAATAAGGATGACAGTAAAACCTAATTTTTTTTTTTTTTTTTGAGTTGGAGTCTCACTCTGTCGCCCAGACTGGAGTGCAGTGGCCGCTCCCCGCCACCGCAGCCTCGACCTGCTGGGTTCTGGCGATCCTTCTGCCTCAGCCTTCCAAGTAGCCGGAATTACAGGCATGTGCTACCATGCCCGGCTGATTTTTTGATTTATTGTAGAGATAAGTTCTCGCCTGCCCAGGCGGGTCTCGAACCCGCGGGCTCAGGCAATCCACTCACCTCAGGCTCCCAGAGGCACGGGATTATAGGCTGAGTCACCGAGCCTGGCTAAAACCTAATTTTTAAAAAAATTTTTGAGGGGAATGATATTTAGTACATTTGTCATAGGAAGACAAAATAAATATTGCAAAGTAGGGCATTCTAATTATTTGGTAAAAATTGAAATTTCAGTGAACTCAAACAGAAAGTGGTTGATATAAAAATGATAGGGTTTAGTCTACATTATTTGGGTAAGTGTATTTCTATTCTTTTTTATTGTTTTGTTTTTTTTAAATTTTATTTTAAAGATGTGGGGGTACGATTCAGGATTAGGTATACAAGTGGTAATCGTACAGGTAAAGTTTGGGCCTCCCTTTGGTCCCCACTTGGCCAGGTTTGAAATCAGATACCCTTATTGAGGTTGTATCCACCCCCGACCCCCGTCCCAGCAGTAGCCCGCTACTGCCAATCCCTTCCTTATAGTATTATGGTAAATGTTCAGGGTCCACTTAAAACCTGATTTAAAAACTAGAAAACATTCTGTAAACACACAGGATCCAAGTAAAATCCAGGGAATACTTAAGTAAGAAGATAGAATTCAAAGGTGAGTGAATCCCAGGTTTGCCCCTTACTAGTTATTTGACCTTGGGCAAGTCACCAACCCTGTCTTTTCACCAAACCTGCCTGTGGCCTCGTCTGTAAAATCAGGGTAATGCAACAGCATCCCAAGATTGTTGCAGGGATTAAAAGATAATTTATATAAAGTTCTTTATGAGTGTCTGGTATGCAGTATGCCTTCAATAAATAAGAATTAGGCCAGGCGCAGTGGCTCACGCCTATAATCCCAGCACTCTGGGAAGCCGAAATGAGAGGACTGACTGAGCCCACAGGTTCGAGACCAGCCTGGGCAATTTGGCGAGACCTCAGCTCTACAATAAATAAAAAAATTAGCTGGGTATGGTGGCACGTGCCTGTAGTTCCAGCTATTTGGAAGGCTGAGGCAGTAGGATTGCCTGAGCCAAAGGGTTCAAACCCTGCCTGGGAAACTTGGTGAGGCCTCATCTTTACAATAAATCAGTCGGATGTGGTGGCATGCACCTGTAGTCCCAGCTACTTGGGAGGCTGAGGTGGAAGTATCACCTGGGCCCAGCAGGTCAAGGTTGCAGCAGATCTTGCCACTGTACTCTAGCCTGGGCAACAGAAAAAAATAAAAATAAAATAAAATAAAAAGAAAGTTCAGGGAACCATTTTAATTATTAAATGTGTTCATGTGTTCATCTCAATAACAAGTCTAGATAAAGTTCCAAATGAATATATAGTCTCTTTAATTATACTTCATATACATATTCTCTCTCTACATATATATTTACATCATATATATGTATATTTTCATATATATTCAAGGGTCTCACTCTGTTCAGGCTGTAGTGGCACGATCACAGCTCACTGCAGCCTCAACCTCCTGGGCTCAGGCGATCCTTCCATCTCAGCCTCCCAAGTAGCTGAGAGTACAGAAACGTGCCACCATACCTGGCTAATTTTTGACAACACAAAGTCTCACTATGTTGCCCAGGCTGGTCTCAAACTCCTGGGCTCAAAAGATCCTGCCACCTCGGTCTCCCAAAGTGCTGGTATTACATGCATGAGCCACTGTGCCTGGACTGAAGAGACAATATTTTAAGCACATTTAGATCCTGCCTAGGTGGCTAGATTCTCACATATGAGAAACAGATTAAGAGTAACAGGTATCAGGCAGAGATGGAAAGTAGTTGGCAACTAGCAAGTCACTGATATCCTAAATGCAGATGAATCTGGGTCCATAAACCTGAAATTCAGTTGTCGGGACTGTTATTATGTGATATGTAAGAAGCACAGAGTTCACCATATTAAAGGTTCTTTTTTTTTTTTTTTTTTACTAAGAACCACTGTAAGAAATACATTCACACTGCAACCAGTATATATGCACACATCCAAGAAACAAGGTATTTTATGAAATAATATGTAACCATATTATGAGCTGTGCATACACTCTACTAAATTGTATTTTTTATTTTTATTTATTTTTTATTTTTTTATTTTTTTGAGTTGGAGTTTCACTCTGTCGCCCAGACTGGAGTGCAGTGGCTGCTCCTAGCCCCTGCAGCCTCGACCTGCTGGGCTCCGGCGATCCTTCCGCCTCAGCCTTCCGAGTAGCTGGAACTACAGGCATGCGCTACCATGCCCGGCTGATTTTTTTTTTTTATTTGTTGTAGAGATGAAGTCTCGCCAAGTTGCCCAGGCAGGTCTCGAACCCGTGGGCTCAGGCAATCCACTCACCTCAGCCTCCCAAAGCGCGGGATTACAGGCTGAGCCACCGAGCCCAGCTCTAAATTGTATTTTTTAAAGACACTGTTCATGATTCAAAAATCCATTTTATGACCCACCAACGAGTCTGAAAGCAGTACGCAAAATCCTGGCTTATGTCACTGAGAGCAAGCATCCTTAGTTGGACTCCATACATAGAAATTGTATATAAAATTCTGTGCATACATTTTCTGGGAAGCAAAGTGACAGTTTTACTCAGAATCTCAAAGGGGCCCCCAAAACTTAGTGCCTATTGGGTAATCATAACACGAGTCTCCAACATTGTACAACCGTGGTAGGTTAGATTTGGGAGTCCCATTCTATTCAAGCAACTTCTCCAAATAAAACAGAGAGAGGCAGGGAGATCACAGCATATACAAAATCTACAAAAACATGGGAAATGCATTTTCAGAAAAAGAAAAAGAAAGCATTGAGAATTCAAAAGTCTACTTTTTTTTTTGAGTCGAAGTCTCTCACTCTATCACCCAGACTGAAGTGCAGTGGCACAATCACAGCTCACTGCAGCCTCGACCTCCTAGGTTCAAGCACTCCTTCTACTCAGTCTCCCAAGTAGCTGGGACCACAGGTGCGCGCCACCATGTTCAGGTAATTTTTTGATTTTTTCGGAGACAAGATCTTGCTATGTTCCCCAAGCTGGTCTCAAACTCCTGGGTTCAAGTAATCCTCTTGCCTTGGCCTCCCAAAGTGCTGGTGTTACAGACATGAGCCACCATGCCTGGCCTCAAAAGTCTAAATTTATAAGAAATGTTATATTTAGAAAGCACTCACTTGTAGTTTTAAAAGTAGCCATGTTTGAAATAAATAATATTTTTTGTATATGGACTGAAGCTTCCTTTTTAAGCCAAAATTTGGTTTTGATAACATAGCTACATTCTACTCTTAGACATGGTAAATATTGGTCTAAAAAAAAAATCAGAGAGCTAAATTTTAAAGCTGCAAGTTTCCCAATAATTATGCAGGAAAGAAGTTTCTGCATCCCAGATGATGGGGTGGGGAAGGTGTAAAGGTGGTAGACTGAGGTGAACTTAAGACAGCAGCAAGGTGCTGTGACATCACAAGGCCTCCCCAAAACTGCGGCAGTCAACTCAGTGACTATGATCACACAGTTTGACGCATTTCAAAATGTTGGTGTTCTTTTAGAATATCTCTTAGACTTTGCAACAGAATACAGAATATGGAATTTACTCTGTAACCTCACTCAGCCAGAATTTCTGTTATATTTTATCCTGTGTTATGAGGTGTAAAAATCAAGTAGGTAAAAGCTGACTCTCTATCAGCATTATGATCCAATTTTAAAGTAGAATTGTGACTTTTTTTTTTTTTTTTTGAGTCGGGGTCTTACTTTATTGCCCAGGCTGGAGCGCAGTGGCACAATCATAGCTCCCCACAGCCTCCAACTCCTGGGCTCAAGTGAACCTCCAGCCTCAGCCTCCCAAGTAGCTGGGACTACAGGTGCTCACCACCAAGCCTGGTCAATTTCATGATTTTTTATTTTTTGTAGAGACGAGATCTTGCTATATTGCCCAGGCTGGTCTCAAATTCCTGGGCTCAAGTAATCCTCTCTCCTCGGCCTCCCAAAGGGCTGAGATTATGGGTGTGAGCCACTGCACCCAGATAGAATTGTGACACATTTTAATTGGATCCAAAACTCTGTGGCCCACTGTTGGGCTGGGAGCTGTGGCGGGCACCCTGTTTTCTCTGGTTGCTGCCCCTGCAGCTCCAGTGCACCCAGAGCAGGTTCTCTGCCCAGGTCTGCCCACCTTCCCAGCTGCATGTCACATCAGGCAGTCTCTACACACTTCTCCTAGCCATGTCTTGTCATTACTCAAAGTCAAACGTTTGTTTTCTTCATGAATTTTGCCTAACGTAAGAAGGATGCTAGGAATGCATAATATAGGCAAGGTTATGTTTTGTCATGCTGAGGAGAGTCTCATTCCTGTAGGAAATGGAAGCCGCAGAGCATCTTGGAACATTATAGATGAAGACATCTCAGGGATTAACCAGAGGAAACCCAGGCCCAAAGAGACTAAGTGAGTTGCCCAAGGTCACATGTCCAAAGGTTCAGCCAGAAAGGAAATTCAGGCCTCTTAATTTACTCTTCCCACTTCAAGAAATGTTGCCTGAGGGCAATGTCATCTCATTTCTTCAGAATGACCACACAAGTGTAAATGAAAGATAATTTCCAGAGCTATCAGATACAGGGGAGATTTTCTAACCACACAATGCTTTCTCACTTATTTGGGGGATTTTATAGAAAGGATATGCATTAATTTAAGTCGAATAAGAGTAATTTCCTTCCTTCCCTCCCTCCCTCCTTCTTTCCTTCCTTTTTTTTTTGATTTGGAGTCTCACTCTGTCGCCCAGACTGGAGTGCAGTGGCCACTCTCGGCCACCGCAGCCTCGACCTGCTGGGCTCCGGCGATCCTTCCGCCTCAGCCTTCCGAGTAGCCGGAATTACAGGCATACGCTACCACGCCCGGCTGATTTTTTGATTTATTGTAGAGATGAGGTCTCGCTGCCCAGGCAGGTCTTGAACCCGCGGGCTCAGGCAATCCACTCACCTCAGCCTCCCAAAGGCGCGGGATTACAGGCTGAGTCACCGAGCCTGACTTTTTCCTTCCTTTTTAAAGACAAAGTATTGCTCTGTCACCCAGGCTGGAGTGCAGTGGTATGATCATAGTTCACTACAGCCTTGAATTCCTCAGCTCAAGCAATTCTCCCACCTCAGCCTCCTGAAGAGCTGGAACTACAGTTTTACTTTTTTGTAGAGATGGAGTCTCACTATGTTGTCCAGGCTCATCTTGAAATCCTGGCTTCAAGTGATCCTCCCACCTCAGAATCCCAAGGTGCTAAGATTACAGGCCACCACACATGGCCCTAGAGTAATTTTCTTAATAAGTTTGATAGCAGCACAGCTATCCACAGAGGAAAAAGCCACCTTCAAGTCTTACATCCATCAGCAGAGGAAGACGGGTCACCCTTTGCATGGGGAGAATGAGAAAAGAGATCATGGGTAAGTTCCTACAGTCTTCATGGGACTCGATTCTTGACAATACTTCCTTAAAGGATGGATTGGTGGCTCTGAAGAAAAACAAAGAAAAAAGAGATTTCAAAATATTTCCTCCTCAAGTTAAGAAGCAAGCTAAAAATGTATTACAAAATACTGTGATAAAAGCATATATTATCAATGATTTTTAAATATATAAAAACAGCAAAAACACATCATGGCAGATACAAATGGCTTGTCTGCCTTTTATACTCAAGATTGAATATAAGATGTGAGTTTCACATAGCAATATTAGCAGTAAGATAAAAATGAATGAGCTAGAAATTTATAGAAGTGTTAAGTAAACAAACAGAGTATATGGCTTCATAGTGAAAACATATCAATTATAAATTAGTATACGAACTAGATTTCATATCAGGTCATCTATAAACACATACCATTAACAAGATAGCAAATAATATGTTTTACGCCACTTCTCTAGCCTTAGACAATGATCTAAAAAATTATCAGTTAGTCTGGACTTAGGAGGCTGTGGCCTTTTTCCACGGTCCTCTAAGAAAAGCTTTGGCCACAGCAGCCAGAATATCTTTCTTCCTCTCCTACTGACTAAGAACAATAACAATACTGCAACAACATTTTTATGAAACTTAGCAAGATATTCCAACATATATTACCTTCTGTGGAACTACCTGTATAACTTTTAAGGATGATCTGGTGGGGATTCCAGTTAAGAGAATGGAGCCCAGAAAGTTCCCTACTTTGCCAAAAGAATATGACTTAGTAACTGGCAAAGACAGAAGCCAAACCAAAATCTTCTGACACTCCATCTGACGCTCTTATTCCTCCATCTCCCACCCCTTCACCCCCTCTCCCTCTCACCTTCTTAACCCCCTGAGGAATTCTGCAGAGTTCCACTGCCACCTTCCATGGCCAGGGAGGGGAGGGGGTGGGAGTGAGTACTGAATTTCCGTGGGGAACAAGAAGAGTCAGAAAGGATAGTGGCAATAGTCACCTTTTTTTCTTTCTTTTTTTAAAATGGACTTTGAAAATTGAATAATTTGATTCAAGGGTACTAGGAAAAAAACAAACTAGGAACTACCCAGAATATTAAATTAAAATAAATTACACAGAAATGTTTTGTTTTCTTTTTCTTAAATTGAAAAGTTGTTTTGATTGTTTGAGTGAGGTTCTCACTCTGTCACACAGGCTGGAGCACAGTGGCACAGTCACAGCTCAAGCAGCCTTGACCTCCTCGGTTCAGCTACTCCTTCCACCTCAACCTTCTGGGTAGCTGGGTGGGACTACAGGCATGCACCCCCACATCTGGCTAATTTTTTTATTTTTGTAAAGACGAGGTCTCACTAAGGTGACCAGGCTGGTCTTGAACTCATGTAATCAACTCCTCCCAAAGTGCTGGTATTACAGGCATGAGCCGCTGCACCCGGCCTAAATTGAGAAGGTTTTAAGGTTTTTTTTTTTTCCCCTGATAGTTTTGAAAAGATGTTTTAGGAAGTTAAAACAACAACTACAACAAAAAACCCCTAAACTAGTTGTGTATTTTTATCACTCTGGTCCCGGCCCCTCCCCCACATTCCCAAGGTTCTGATTAAACAATCTGGAGTGGACTCTAGGTACTGTTTATTTGCTCATTTTCAAAGACTCCCAGGCGTTTCTAATGTGTAGCTGAAATTGAAAGTCACTGCTCTAACCTTAAATTGACATCAACTGCAGCAAAGCCCCTGAAAACACAACTACTAATTTCCATGTGAAAGCTCACATGATAGTATCATTAAGCTAACTGAGATAAGATCTTTATTTTCAAGAGTCATATAGTGTATAGCAGTGCCTGTTCACATTTTTAAAAAATCCTGCAAAGCAAAATAAAACCAAATTCAGCTCTAATTCAAGGCTTTGTTTTCAAACATGAACTTGCATTCATTCAACATAACTTTTACAGCAGGGCAACCTCTGTTCCTATATCAGAAGTTCCCAGCAGGGCTTGTGGGTCAGGGTGAGGTGCAAGGAATTAGCGGAAGTAAAGAGTGTGATTCTGCCCCCAGGGGATCTTCTGCAAAGTCTGGCGACATTTTTGGCATCTAGCAGACAGAGGCCAGGGAAGCTGTTAAACATCCTACAATGCACATGACCCCTGGTCACAAAGATGTGTCCAGTCCAAAATGTGAAACTCTGCTTTATACTAAAAACCCTATTTGGGCCAGGCTCGGGACTCAGTCTGTAATCCCAGCACTTTGGGAGGCCGAGGCAAGTGGATTGCCTGAGCCCGGGTTCCGGCAACTTGACAAGACCTCATCTCCACAATAAATCAAAAAAATTAGCCGTAGTAGCGCGTGCCTGTAGTTCCGGCTACTTGGAAGGCTGAGGCAGAAGGATCGCCGGAGCCAGCAGGTCGATGCTGGGGTGTTCATGAGTGTGCCACTGCACTCCAGCCTGGGGGACAGAGTGAGACTCCAACTTAAAAAAAAAAACAACAAAAAACTATTTGGGGGCTGGCAGCTGGGGGCTTTTCACCCTGCCCATACACATTCCATGAGGATGTGAAGCGGGGAGGAGGCACAACCAGCTCTTCTCACCAACTTGGGGGCTTTGACTATTTCTCCAACCAGCTATGAGAAAATCACCGCTAAGTCATACCCCTCCACATTGCACAGAAGTCAACCAAAACTCCGTGCTATGGTCATAAACACCACAACTACCAGGAGGAGGTGAGAATGACAGTAGCCAGTATGCTCCCAATCTGGATTTACAGCCATGGACAGCTGTGCTGTAGAACAAATAGCTACTTGTGATAAACAGAACTTCTAAAAATAAATATAAATATTACTGACCAATCACTGATCCTTTTAAGAAAAGCAATGGCATACATATGACATCAACACTTTCACCTCAAAAGGACAAAATTAAGAGGTATGGAGGAAAATTTCATGCTTGACCCTTTTTGGTTCCACAGGTAAAATCATCAAGAACATTTTTTTTTTGTCCATTACTTTTCTTCAGACCTGCCTTCCTCTCCCCAGTCCTAACTGCTACGGAGGAAAATATGAGCAATTTTTATAAACGACTTGCCATAGTTGTCACTTGAATGAAGAGTGATTAAAATGGTAGAGAAAACTCTGAACTCTAGCTCTAATTCCAACTACTCAAGATCCTGCCCTAGGCCTCTTGCAAACCACTCATCAGTTAATGGTTCAGAAATCTGGGGGTTTGGAGTAATGATCATCTCTGTCTTGCAGAAATTAAACAACAATAACAATAACAAATCATATTTTCATAGGAGAGAGAATTTCCATACACTAGATTTTTCTACTCAACTACCCTCACTTTAAAAGGCATCCTCTTCCCCAGGAAATATCCCATCAAGAGGTATTTCTAAATATGATTTAAGAGATCAATTAATTTCAGTCAATGTGGCCTAATTAAAACTAGGTTAGACTATTAATACTGTAGCATTTAACATTACTTACAACAATTTTTGTAGTGTCCGTTGCTGGTAGACTTCATTTGTGCAGTATTTCACATACGGGTCAAATGTGGATGCTGTATGTTTTTCCACAATGTCACTTATGTCATCTATGAAGATATTATTCTGATGTCGTGCTTCCAACTCTATAAAGAACCTGAGAAAAAATTACATTCCTTCATATATCTAACAGACAAGAGATTAGCCTCATGTAATGATACTATACAGGGTTTGAAAATATCAACAGTACACAGTACCAACTCAAAAAGATTGGAAAAAAAAACTAAAAATTTTGTCTAAGTTTAAATCTATCATATTAACACCTTATTGCTTCAAGTGTTTGGCTTCAAATATTGATAATCTAGGACATTTCTCTGCTTTCGTGTATTTTAAAATAAATAGATTCTGCTATATTTTAAGAATTCCTTGAATACAGAGAAAAGAAAGTTCATGTATATATGTTTTATTGTATTGGAAAGTACATGAGCAAAACACCTAAATAAATGCTTAAAAAAGCAAATATGAAAAAAACCTAATTCTACATGATTTTTTTCTCTTGAAATAAAAACAATCACATTATTTTAAATCTAATAATATGCATGATATCGAAATATCTTCATAATTTATTTAGATTGCACTTTAGGGTTACCAGATTTAGTGTATAGAGATACTATACAGCTATTTAGGATTATCTAAATAGATGCATATATATGTATCTATACACATATATATCATCATATATATCATATATAGCCATTGTTTATCCATTAATCTATATATATTTACAATCTATTTAAGTTTCTCCCTTTGTCTACTGTGAATAATGATATGTACGTTTGTATACAAATACATATTTGAGTAGCTGTTTCCAAATCTTTGGGGCATATATCTATAGGATGAATTTTAACCACACTGATTCTGCGTCAATAATAGTGTATACACACACACACACACACACACACACACACACATTTATAACTACAAGGGGAGAACCCCAAAACACCCCAAATTACTTTTTGGAGGGTGGGCCCCTTGTAGTACAGGCTGCCTCTGCTAGATAAGTGTTCTGGAGACCCATCACAGCATCAGTGTACCCGCTAGTGTTGCTGTGAGAGGTTGTGCTCGGCTTCAGTGAATTTTTTCTGGAGATTTTTTCAATGCATTTGCCCATTTCATGATAGCTGGTTTATGACTGCCCCTGCCCACACCGCACTAAACGTTCAGAAGTTTTTGACCAAAAATGGCATAACCTCATGCCCCACTCTCTCCATTCACCTGCTCTTGCCCCAGATGAGAAAAGTCCTCAAAGGGAAAAATCTTGCCAATGTGGAAGAGGTGAAAACAAAACAAAACAAAAAGGCAGAAGCACTAAAAGACATCAAAATGGATGTGTTCAAAAACTGAGCAGTGGAAAAAGCATCTTGATAGGTGCACTGCATCAAACAGAGAGTACTTTGAAGGTGACTGAAGTTTAAGCATGTAATTATTTAATAAAAAGGGTAAAAACCCAAATGGAGTAACTTCAGTCAGAGTGGCAGCCATTTTGCCACTGCTTAGCTTTGTCATGAATTTTCAGCAGCATACTTTAATCCACCCTCTAATCATTAACAAGCTTTGACTGAGTTACCAGAGGTAGTTACTGATAATTGTCTTGCAACTCCTTCAAGCATGTTTTGTACTAACTATCCTTTTATCCGAAGTATTTGTCCTCCTGCCATAAAGGACCAAGCTGACATAATCTGTTGTGATCAGCCCTTTGTAATCTACATGACACAGACCACCACCCCACCACCATGGCAAGAGTTCCTGTGCTTACCTGCCCCCTTCATGACTACACAACACAGCCCACCATGGAAAACTGCCCCTACCACAGAGAAACTCTAAATGCTTCCAGCCTCAAGCATTCACTACCAAACACTCCTTCAGTATCTGGCTCCTTCTCTAATCTTGGGAGATGGATTCACCTTTCTTCTCTGATCGACTTTCTAAATAAACTTTTTCTGACCTACTCTTTGTGCAATTCTTTGTCTCTTTCCCATGGCACTGGCACAGTGACCTAACAAGAATACACAATATTTTATAAAGAAATTCTGGGTTTTTTTTAATACTCCCTCGTAGAAAGAAACAATAACTTAATAGCAAGAACCAATACAGAAGTTGAGTTATATACCAAGGAGAGTATGGTTCATTAAATGAAAGTTGAGTAAGAAGTGTTCCTTTCCCTCCCAATGCCCATAGTTGAGTGTCTGATGGGAGGCATGGAGTAATTACAATACAGGACTGTAACAGAGGTGTGGTATTCTAAAAAATAAGTATTCAGTCTTCATCTCTGGTTCTTGGAAAAGGGCTTCTAAATCCCTTGGACTCCCCTGAGTGATGAGTGCTTTTTGTATGCTAATGAGATGACTGGCAGCTGGGGGTTCCTAGATAACTTCAGCATGGCCTGGTCACCAGAAAGACCAAGCTATGGCTGTTTCCAGCACCTCCGTGCCCCCCCATGCCCCCAGGCAACTTAGAGTCACCTAAATTATCAGGCAGACAAGAAGGCCAATGATCTAATAAATTATGCCCTCATCATGGAACCTCCATGAAAACCCCTAACGGATTTAAGGAGGAGTGGTGAACACCCCACATCGCTGCGAGGGTATCAGGCCCAGAGAGGGCATGGAAAATCTGCAATGCCTATTCCCCGCCCCCCACCCCACCGCCTTGCCATGTAACAATTCCTACATTTGGCTGTTCCTGGTTATATCCTTTATGATAAACCAGAAATAGTAAGTGAAGTGCCTTCCCAGTTCTATGAGCTGTTTTATCAAATCATTGAGCCTGAAAAGGGAGTGGATTATGGGAACCCTTCAACTGGATAGCCAAGTAGGAAAGAATCATGGGTAATCTGGGGACCCAATACTTGCACCTGGCATCTGGCATGAGCCCTATGGTACTAAGCTCTTAAATCTGCCAAGTCTGATGGTAACTTTGAGTGGTCAGTGTCAGAACTAATGAAGTGTAGGGTACCCGATTGGCATCTGGAGAGTTGGAGAATGGTTGGTGTGAGGAAAAAAAAACCACACACACTTGGTGTCAGAAGCATGGGGAATAAGAGCAGCTCAATAGACCTACTATGGAAACTCTAGAAGGCAGGGTGATCAACTGCGTGGTGAACATACATGAGGAAGCGTGTGAGCCGGGTCACCAGTGTTGAGGATGACACAATGGGAGCAGGGAGGCAGGGGAAGCAATGTGGGCACAGGCTCAGATCTCACTGAAAAAACTGTGGGTAGCTCAGTGGAATTGTGGTACAGACTCCAGGAGGAACAAGGGCAGAGACAGGAAATGGTGGGGAAGGTTTGAGCTAGACTGCAAAGGTGCTGAGGAGCTTAGCCTTGATCATTAGACAATGAGAAACCACTGGAGGCTGAAGCCAATAAATCACTTGATGAGACAGAAAAAAGTGGGACAGAGGAAGGGTGAATTACACATAGTGAGAGACAGATGGCAAGGAAGCTGGTTAGATGGTTAATCTGGGCAAGGGACGATCAAGTCTAGCAGTGAGAAATAAAAGAGAGAACACAGTGTAAGGTAACCATTTGGAGATAAAACAGACTGAAGAAACTTATTAGATGCGAAGTCAAGGAAGATGCTGGGGTTTCTGGTCAAGGTTGCTACCTGGGCAATAAGGTAGGTCATTAAACCACTAATGAAGATTGAGAGGAAGGAAGAGGAAAGAGAAACAGGAACAAAACAATTTAATTTTGCTGTGGAAATGTCTCATGAACAGTTGAAAATACACATCTGTAAGAATTCAGAAGGGCTGAAATTCCAGGTACTATAAAGTCAGGACTAGTTAATTTTTAGCTGGTTTTCATGTGAATGTAAAGTATTTATAATTTAACTCCAACTGCTTTTTAATGAAAAACTTAAGAAAAATTTTCAAAGATAATTGAAAAAAAAAGAAGCCAATCATAAGGTTATTATCATGTAATTCTAGGAAATAAATATCTTGAAAATATCTCTTGCAATTTCTTGTCTTTGGCTAACTGTTAAGAGTCTGAAGGAATGCAACTATATAACCAAAAACAACAGTCACTTGGCTTTTCCCAAAGAAAAGAAAAATTTCATTTATCACTGTAAAATGTTTGCCAAAGTACAAGATTAAAAACAAGGTACTAATGAAATATCTGTTTATACTACTTACTTTAACATAAACCAAACTACCCATTTTAAGTATTATATTAGCATAAATGGACATAATTTAAAGCTTTCTGTGTTAAATGATCTATTGGTTATTTTGGCAAATTTGCATACTTTCCTAAGTGAGTTGAACTACAAAAAGATCAAGAAAGTATTTCTAAAGAATGAAGTATTATTTCAGGAACCAAGAATGTTGGTGACTCAAATAAAATCTCAAGCAAAAGTAAAATCAAAATCATTCTGGTTCCAAAATCATTCTGGATGAAACTTGAATGAAACAGTTTGCCTTATTTTGCGGACTTCTTATTAAAAATTTTTTTTTTTAGGTGGAGTCTCATTCTGTCATCCAGTCTGGAGTACAGTGGCAAGATCACTGCTCATTGCAGCCTCAACTTCCTAGGCTCAGTTGGTCCCTCTGCCTCAGCCTCCCAAGTAACTGGAACTACAGGCACACACCACCATGCCCAACTACTATTATTTGGAGACTTTTTAGTGGAAATATCTCTTTCAACTCTGCAATTTTTTTCTGAGATAATACTTTCATTATTTCCTCTTTGCAGTATTACCAAGATGTTCATGTCTTGCAACCAACCATATTACACAATCTTTATCTTTTTTCTCTCTCCTATCACATCTCTAAACTCACCACTAAAGTCTAGATTTTAAGAAACCTTCTGTGGACCAGAAAAAGATGCCTAGAAACATTTCCTCCTAACCAGAAACACAAGTTACCCCTGGTTGACTGTTAACTTACCATCACAAACACAATCACACCCCTACTTCAAATGAATGCTTTAAATGGCTGTAGTCCACCCAGGTGCCCTCCTTAGCTGGGCACAGATTGGTCAGGCCACCAAAGACACAAGGTCAACCTCCCAGGATGTTGTCGATGATTCAACTAAAGCCCATGTTTGAAGAAAGAGCCTGATATGGAGCTTGCTTATGGTCTATAACCTTTCTTCTAAC